AAAATCATAGCAAAAAAAAACATGAAAAAAGTTGTCTTCAAAAGGTTTTTGGGTTTTATAACTTCCCTGTTTCCTAACCAGAGATTTAGAAACTTAAAAGAAATAAAAATAAAAGAAATAATTCTAACCACGTGTAAATTCAAGCTCAATAAGGACTTTAAGACCGAGGAAGGATCCCTGTAAATGAAAGACTGCAATGACTAATTAAAAGGCATGGCAGCATGATACAAATGTGATTACCGAACATAAGATTTTAAAAGAATTCTTAAGACATACCCTGAAGAAAAAATATAAACCTTAATCCACAATTTCATAAAACCTTTTTTTTTTTTAATCCTAGGGGTTAGTTTGTGGACAGGAGGGAAGAAATAGGCTAACCGAGAAGTAAAAACCTACTCAAGCTGTGTGTTTCGAGGGCAATGAGGCTGTAACATTGTACAAATTAATTCCAGCTAGCATGAAACAGAGATTCGAGTATGAATGCTAAGTTACAGTGGTATATTAAACATTCAGCCCTTCAGTAATGTAAGCAGTGTGATTATCAATGGCTGCTATACTTGTTTGTGCTATAAGAACATTTTATAAACAACCAGGTATTCTCTTAACACGGACATTTACAAAAGAGAATTCATTCATAGTGTGTCAGTGACCCCAACACGGAAGAGTCACAAATAGTTAACAGTAATGAAGAACAACACTTATTGAGAGTTTCCTAACTACAAGGTCCTCTGCTAAATGTTTTACATTTACCATTGAATCCTACACGCACTTAGGTAGATAATGTTATTATTCTCAATTTAGAGATAAAAACAGTGGACTTGGGAAATTAAGTAATTTGCCCTAGGTCACGCAACTAATCAATCAGTGGCAGCACGGGGGGCCAAACCCGGGTGTTCCTGACTCGGCTGGCCAATGTCTCAATCACACTGTCAAACAGTCTTCTCCAGAGGCAAACAGAGGCAGTGCCCCCCTAATCAGTGCCAGAAAAACTGCCCAGGCCCAAAGGAACCTGTCTGGTCCGGGAAGCAGTACGGCTCCCCTTTATAAAGACATGTGAGGTTTTCAGGGCTCCCTCCCTTCTCCAATTTCATGCTCACCAAGCAACTCCCTGGCCCTGGCTCCCGAGTGGCCTGCCTACAGGGAGATCACAGCGCACACACTGGGGGCCCTCGGCGGTTCCGTAGCCCGTGGTTAATTACTGAGCCAGCATCCTGGTTTTACACATCACTGCCAGTGAGCTGGGCTAACACATCCCACTCCCCTCGATCACTCCCCACGACCCTGGCTTTCTAAGCCCAACCACCTCACTCCAGAATGTGCTGATTCTGTCAAGGCCGTGCTGCCCCATGGGAGTGGCTGTGCCCAGCCGACTCCTTCTTGTCTCATCACCTCCACCAAACCTCCAGAATGTATACCTTCAGGGCTAGAGAGAAATTTTTCTAATGCTGCTTAAGTTCTATAAAGCCTTTCACAGCCTCTCTTGAAAGTATTGTGAAACTCAGAATGTGCGATATGTGGAGAATTTCAACAGCTCTCTAAGAGGCTGCTGCTATAATAAAAAAAGCAATATTTTCCTATGAGGATTTTTTCCCTTTTTAAAAGTCACTTTTCCATAGTTCAAATAGGATGAATTTAGAAAACAGTTAACAATCTAAGTCAACTAAATTGAATATATTAACTTTCCTGTTTTTAGTTTTTTAATGTGTTATATCTCAGACCAAAAATAAAAATAAGGAGTAAGAAACAAACATCATATACCCATACATCCAGCTTAAGAAATAAAATACTACCGATATAGTGAAAGCCTGTGGAAATAGTGTTACAACGGTATTATCATGTAGCCTTATGATTGCCATAATAAACGTGAAGTGGTATTCAATTAAACAAGAAAAGTAAAGGCTGTTTCTCCCCCAACTTAGATTTGAGCAGGAGCAAAGTTCATCCACCAAATCTATACACTATGATAATCTTAAATTTGCTTGACAAGAGAATACCGTAAGACAACATACCAATATCTCTTGGTATGAATCTTATCCGTGATGTATGGATGCAAACCCAGAACAGGTGTTGCTGACTCGGATTATTTCTGAACAGCCTTTCAGTAAGATTAAGCCTGGGGCGTGAGCCATCTGCTTACAGGCTACAGAGCACAGCTTCTGAAACTCTGAAATGAAAAATGTGCCATACAAACTAAGTTCCTAACCACAGCCGTCCTTAAGTGTTGGACCTGGCAGGACAGCCTGTGCAGGAGCAAGACATTTTCTAGGGATGACATCTGTTCCCTCTGAACACACTCTACACCCTTCCATTAAAAATCATTGTACGCCCACAGCTGTACGGAGTTGCTTATTCCTGAGTCTGATAACATCGAACACGGGATAGCACTTCTCGGCTAACAGAGAATGAACGCAATGCCTGTGGGTTCAGTTCAACCTGTGTTTACCGAGCACATTCCAGGCCTGGCACTCCGGGTACAAAAATGAATTAACCACGGTTTCTCAAGATGTTGACTCTGTAGTGGTTGTAGGCAGACCTGATACATGGGGAAGAAATGACAGGAAAAACAAACCAAAATAGGGAAAAGGGAAAAAGGGGTGAAGGAAGCAAAAATGATGGAATAAATGCAAGTAAACAGGAGTGGTCGTTGAGGCCAGCTCTTCTGGTTTACTTTTTCCTCCTAGGACTGCTCCATCTTCGCCTCCTTCCAAGGCTCCCCTCCCTCTATTCAACCCTGAGGGGTCTGCTACATCTTTTTCCCCTCCTGGAAAGCCTCGCGTTTTCTCCCAGCTTCAACTCATTACCTGACCTTGGCTGACATTTCCAAAATCTCCTCTCCCCAGCCTGGATTCTCACCTGAGCTCCAGACCCACACCTGCCCCTGCCTGCTGAACCTCTCAACGGGCATCTCCAAGTCAGTCCTTTCAGAACTAAACTCACCACACACCTCTGCTTATCCCCCCCCTCAAACCTACCCTTCCTTTTGTTTCCTCTCTGTTAGAGCCCCCAGCACTTACTGGAAACCTAAGTATCAACACGGACCCCTGGCTGGCTCCTGAGTGTCTCTAGATTACACCTACTTCTCTCCATTCCCACCCAAATCCCCAGTGCCCACCATCCACACAACTACGCCTTTCTAATCATTCCCCAGAGGGGAATTCCCAAAAACTAATCGCACCACACCCTTGTTTAAAAGCCCTTCATTAACTTCCCTATTACTTTCAGGACAAGCCCAAACCCTTTAACAACCCCCTACACACACACACACACACACACACACACACACACACACACACACACACACACTACACGCCCCTGCTGTCAGCCTTTCCTCTCCCACTTCAGAGTCCAGGAGATCACCCGCCTCCTGTCTTTGGCCCTGTCCAGTTCCTTCGTTGGAACAGTCTTTTCCAGGCCCTGACAGGACCGCCCTGCCCCATCCTTCAGATGCCAGCTCAGACATCACTTGCCCTGGGAGGCGTTCCCTTTGTTGTCCCTCCCTAGTGTGTCTGCACCCTCCACTCCCCTGTCATAGCATGGGTCAGGCCAGTTTTCTTGCTGGTATCAACACCAGGGTAAGCTCCTAATACATTACATGCTTGGCACTTAAGTCTTCCGTATTGAATCATCAAATGATTGGATGGTCACCAGAGGCACAGTTTATTGCTGACTTCTTATGAACTACAATCATCAGTTAGGAAGACAGGTATTCATGTGGAATAACCAGTTTCTCCATCTTTCTCTTACCCTAGAACCAGGTGGCCAAAGGATGAAGGGTCCTAGGTTTCATTGCAGCCCTATTCCTCACAGGCTTTACGTAGTATTTTAAATTTATGTGGATACTTGGACTGTACAACTTCCTATTGACTAGATTAGGGGTTTTCCAGGGCAAACCTCTCTATGATTAGTATAACAGGCTAGTTATTAGAGCCTGGCTTTACCTGCACATTAAGTCACACAGCCACTCTGAGGATTAGGAACCCCTATTATCCCCGTGGTTCAGGGGAGGGAGCTGGAGCCCAGAGAGGTCACAGAGCTTGCCCAACGTTCAACAACCAGAATTCAAACTCAAGACAATGTGTCTCTAGAATCTTGGCCTGGCCTGTGGAAAACAATGAATGTTAAATGAATGAATGGAATCTCTACAACGTACTAGATCACGATGACACATTTGGGATTATATTGCGTTGGCCAGGAAGTCCGTATGGTTTTTCCCATAAAATAAGACACATTTTTTTTCATTTTCACCAATAACTTTATTGATTTGGATATTTTAAGTAAGTTGGCTATCTTCCAGTATTGGCTTCTAGTGGGCAAAGGCCAGGGGTGCTGCTAAATATCTTCCAGTGCATAAGACAGCCCCACAGCAAAGAGTTATTTGGCCAAAATGTCAATAGTACCAAGAAACTTCACAAACCACTCCTGACACATTCGATCAGTCGCATAACCTTCTCCATACCCTGCACAAATCTTATTTTTGCATTTCAGTTGCGTTTTTACCTTTCTTGAAATAATAAAGCATATGCCAAAAAATGTTTCATATTTTTTCCATTTTCAATGTTAAAATGACTGCACAGAAAATTCACCAATTTTGATACTTTCTTTAATGCACTGATATGACAGCTGTCACAATACAATCGAATGAAGTTAAAGAGAGCTAAGCACTACGAGAGCCAGTGCACATAAAGAACTTTTTGGCCAACCCAATATTAGAAAAAGGAAACTTGATCATCCAAAATGCATTCATGTTTGACTTTGAATTACATTTTGGGGGAACATGTTAACATTGTAAAAACTTGACACTGTTCATTCTCTTACAGGGAAAGACCCCTTGTTCTGTGTCCATTCCCTCTTCATGGGGTATGGGCTTGCAGGCTCAACTCAAGATACGCTGGCTGGCCAGGGACACACTTTGAGAATGCAGAGCCAGCATACATTCAAGTGGCTGGGACCTAAGGAGAGAAGGCAGGCCAGAAGAGCCAGCAGCCTTTTATGCGGCTTACCTCCCGCAGCTCCAGCCTCTGGGCCACAGCCTCCAGGCTCTCCTGACCAGTGCTCTCCACTGACAGTGTGAACTCCACAAACTCGTTATTGAGCAGCTGGATCCGGGCAACCAGGCAGCTCTTGCTGGACACCGTGTAGCGCCGGGTACGTTTGAGTTTTAATCCAAATGGCAGTGGCATCTTTTTCTCTCTTCAGGAGTGGACGGGTAACAAGGGAAAGAGCACGGCTACCAATGCAGAGGTGGTGCCGGAGGAGGAGAAGGGCGACCCCCTCCTGGCCCGAAGGGTACTGCACAGTCTCGGGCTGCTCACCCAGCCGCTGCCGCCGCCATTAAAACGCAACTGAGTCTCCAAAGGCCAGGTGAAGGGAGCATCCACACCAGTGCTGGAGAGAGAGGAACACGGGTTACACGGGCCACGGCAACTCTGGACTTTTAAAAATAAACATCAATAACGCTACGGCCAAAGAATAAGCTTTCCCTCTCTTCTGGGGGGAAAAAAAGGCGTGAACAGGGTCTGGGCACAGTGAGGAAGTTTAATCAGGGTTGTGTTAGACCCTCGGTCGGACTCCACCGCTGGCCTATTCCTCCAAACAGTGGCAACGACCACCTGTGGCCGTTTCAGGGTTAAATGAGATAGTTGCTGGCATTACTATAACCCCAAATTGAGTAGCTAGCGTTAGTGGTCCTGTTTCTATGTTAGGTAAGATTTTGTTTTTTCACAGTTAACTCTCTTTGTCTCCCCAATACTCCAAATATGAGGATCTTTAGTCCTTAGGTGAGTTAAATGCAAAACACCTCCAGAAGTGCAAGGTTCAAGCCTCCGTCCCAAAAGGCAAATTAACCCTAAACCCACATGAGAGGCATAATCCCCTCTAACACACGGCAGCTGTGAGGTTCAAACAAGGCGAAGCGCTGAACAAGCATTTGTAGTGCCCTTTCCGGTTTGTAAATGCTGACGCCATCAAAGTGATGTATTTATAATAAATCACAGACGACCTTACAAATGTTTGCTATCCGACTACCACCAGGAGCGTGCAAGTTCTGAAAAGCGTGGCCCCGTCTCCTCTCCGAGTGAGATGCCTAAAGAGGCGGTGGACCTTCACCTAAGCACAGCGACAGCCCAACAGGCGGGCGAGGACTTAAACACCATCCTGGGCTTAAGGAGGGACGGACAGAGTTCCGCCAGCCCGTGCGGCTAAGAGCACAACAGAGAGCTCGGGCTCCAACTCCTCGCGGAGAAGCAGGCGGCGTTGCCCGGCCGACGCGCAGCCTCCCAGCATCCGGAACCCTCGGCCCGCGGCTGAGTTTCCTGACGGACGCCCTAGGGAAGGTCCGGCCCGGCGGCTCCGGGAGGGAACTTTTAAAGGACCCAGCTGGAGACCCCACTGCTGGTGGGGAGAGTTGCGCGCCGTCCTGTCGGCTCCCGGTTTGGAGCCTCAGGCGTCCCACATACCCGATTTACGAAGTTTTTAATCACACCCCTTGGCGGTGTGACTCAACTCCTGAGCTGAAGCAAACTGGCCGTGAGCGGCAAGTTGGGATTTTCACATTAACCGGATGTTTCCCCCCTTGAACGAGTCGGCAGGATCCCGGGATAGTTCCCAACCTCCGTTTTCTTTTGAGCAGAGGCTGCCCCGGAGATGAAGCCTTCTGCGAGGCTCGGCGCAGTGGCTGGTGACCCTGAACTTGGGTCGGGACCCGCGGGGAGGGGCAGGGTCCGCTCCCGGCCCTCTCATCCCGCAGACCCAGGACCCAGGCCTCTCGGCTTCGTACCAGCACGGGAAGCGGTGGGACTGGACCCCAGTCTGCTCATTCCCAGTCCGCTTTTCCGCTCTGCAGACCGCGTCCCTACCCCCGAGGTGACGGGCACTCACGCAGGGCTGGGGGATGGCCGAGCCAGAAAATACAGCTTAGCTATTACGCTAGGCTTTGCCCAACAACACGTTGTAGTTGCATTCCAAAAAGTCTCTGCATGCAAGGCAACCTTGTGGGCACCGTGAGAAATCTAAGACGTATCCTAAACCGCCGCTGCCCTTAAGGAGATTACAAAAACATGCTGTATTTACGAACGGGGCTGTATCTCTAATGAGGACCCAACCACGGTTTTCGCTGTCTGGTTTTTTATTCGTTCGTTTTTGTCCCTTGTGTTTTGGTTTTGTTTTGGTTTGTGAATTCTGGCTATCCCCAGAGAGCCAAAATAAAATAAAAGTTAAAAAACAAGGGATGGAGAAGGAAGGCCAGAGGAAAAAAAGAAAACCGGAACTACCTACAGCACTGTTAACAGCATTTACTGAGTGCCTTCTATAGGTAAAAGCACCATACCGAGGAGGGAAATAGTAAATATTATGGTCTCCACCTACAGTGTATAAAGCTCTTTGCTATGTCAGGGTTTTATAAACTAAATAGATAGTTGAGGCAAAAATGAAGAAAAAAATCATGAGAACCTCAATACTTTAAAACTAGTGTTTATATAAACTTTAAAAGACTATATACATACAATACACAGGATCCGACACAAATAACACCTATTACAAAATCATAAGCATGTAATTCTATAACAATATCACACTCAAGCATACCATGTGACATTTTAGGTGAAATGTTCAAATTAAAACTATAAAGTATTGCCCTACCAACCACACTCACGGAGGCGTTACTTCTGCCGGACCCTCTATGTACTAAATACCCTTTCATGAAATGAGGTGATGGCTTTCAATTTTGTATACGAATTATGGTAACTGGAAACAGGATTGAGTAGTGTAGATGAACAGACAAGATATTGCATATAAGCAGAGGAAAGATGAATATTTGTATTAAGGGTGTTCAAATATAGTATAGTCCTTCACTACAAAGATGGAACCATACTTTAAAGGCGGTAAATAGGACACAATGTAATTTAATTATTAACTTAAGCTCTGATTAAGCAAACTCTGAGTAAAACTTTCAATTGTCCCTGAGATTTGAAATGTTTTACAGCATCAGAGGTAAACAAAAGCCAATTTGATCTCTTTTTTATTTTGGTAGATGTTATGGTGTAATTGAAAAAGTTGAGGGTTTGTGTGTGTCTCAGGTGCAAATCCCCCCACCCAAGATCTATCCATAAGAATAGCTTGCTTTTTGCTTATTTATATAAACCTACTGTGTTAAAACAATGTTTTGCTTAACCACAAAATGATCAATGATGTAAACATCTTAACTTTCATTTATGTACAATATTTGCTACTAAATGATGTCATAAAGTTATACATGTTTGAATAGAGGAGTAGAAATTTAGGATGCTTTTTGGAAAATCTGTTTCAGCAGTAAAATAGTATGTAATACTTGGAAAGGTAGCTGATCTTGAGTTATAAATTACCTAAGTAAACAATTCGTAATTAGCTTTTGAGGGAAACAAAAAACTAGGATACTTTGTTTCTCTACAAAACCATTCTGTTAGTAATAAGAAAACAGATACATGTTAAATTCTGTTCAAGTTTCCAAAAGACAGCCAGAGATATTTGTAAATTCATTTTAATGTCTTCTTTTCACATCTCCTCTCAAAGGTTTCTCAATTGCACTTTAACTCTGAATCCTGTAGTTTCCCCCCTTGCTGATAAGGTCTTAGGTCTTCACCAGGTGTAACTTTGCCAATGATGCTTCAAAATACTCGGGAAAGAGTATACGATATTTTTTAAGTAATATATACATCTATAGCATTAAATCAAACACATGTTTCTCAAGAACCAAACATTTATACGTAGACACTCGAGAACAAACTGCCCTAGAAACAAAACAGACAACTATCTTCAGAGTAAAATTACTGTCATATGCGAAAAAAAAAAACCTGTCAACAACTACGAGGCGCACAGCGGCTGTCACTGGGAGCACACGGCGTGTTTTGGATGTTTGAGAGCATACGCTATTATTATAAGGCTTTCTCAGCAAAAAAAGAAAATAAGACGAGCATGCCAAGAACTGGTAATCAGGATTTGCAGAAATCACAAGTCGGAATTTGCAGACCCAAGAATTCTTTTTTTCCAGAGTAAACACTCTTGACTCCAAAACCAAAATAAGTCATCGCCAAGCAGTGCTTCCCTACTCCCCTGCTCGCCTACGTTACCGGACAATTTCGCACTTAATGTTCCGAGGCAAAGCTACGCCTAAGACTTTTAAAACCCTGATCCAGAATTAAGCCGCCAACCATCGGAGGGGAGCTCTGAACAGACACTCCAGCCCTCCCTGAGAAATTACTCAAGTAGATCACAGATAACCTGGAAAATGGAACACTTTTCTCTTTGTTACGCTCCTTCCACCGGCCGGTAGCTGGGACCCGTCCTCCGGGGCCGGCCGACGGGCTCCGGGTCCCGGCGGGCGGCCACACCCCACCACCGCCCGGTCCCAGCGCCCGCCCCGCGCCCGGAGCCCCGCGCCCTCCCTCACCTGCTCCGGCGCCCGCATCCTCGGGGCCGCGCGCCCTGCTCAGCGGCCCGCCTCCCGGGGCCCCGCCGCGCGGCCGCCGCAGCCGCGCCCGCAGCGCGGCGCGCTCATGGGGCTCGTGGGCCACACTTCCTGTCTCCGAAAACCCGGCCCGGAGACCATCCCCCCGGGCGCGACCGGTGGCGGCGGCGGCCGAGGCTCGGGAACCGCCTGCAGCTGGGACCCGCTGGCCGGGAGCGGCTCACAAAGGAGGCGCGCGGGGCTCGGGCGGCAGGAAGAGCGACCGACGGGCTCGGGACGCGCGGCTGGAGCAGCGGAGCGGCCGGGCGGGCGGGCGGATCTGGGGAGGCGGCTGCGGTCCGTGACCTCAGAGAGTTGGAATGCGGGCGGCGGGGCGCGGGGGAGGCGCGGACGAGGCGCGGACAGCTGCGCCCGCCCGCCCGCCGGGGAGGGGGCGCGCCGCTGCTTTTTATAATCATATGACCACTTATTTTAAGAGTTTCCAAATACAGCAAGGCTTTTAATACAAATGAGGGGAAGGGGACATTAGTTCTGTTCCAGGTAAAGGGTTTTATTCCAGTGTTATTAGGTGGTTCGTAAAATGCTATTATTGCTGGAGTTTTTCATTTACTCTCATTACATTTCTGAAAACAATTTAAACATTCTTTTCGTCCTCCTACGCTTACCCCGTCTAAGGATATAACCCACCAAAAAAAAAAAAAAAAAGGAAAAGCCCTTGTACTGGGGTGGGAAAGTCCCCTTTCTCCAAAGAGTTGATTTGCCTCAAATAACCGATTGGTCTCAAAAAGGAAAAGAAGTTGCATGCGTATGCAACACCAAGTGAAAGCTGTTAGGGATGCAGATTCCATGGTCAAGAGGCCTAGGTTCCACTCTCAGCGCCCAACACCTGCTAGCTGGTGACCTTGCGCAGAACTCTTAACCTCCTCCTCGCTGTGCGTACTTCCTCTTTTATAAAATTGAGAATAAAATGATCGCTACTCAGTAACTTGTGTAAAACATATATTGTGCATCATTTACTTCCACACCCTATTAGCAATGTTCACTGTTGCATGGTATCAGCACACTGCTGTCAGTCTGCCTTGCAACACTCGACCAAGAAATAACCCTAGGACCCTGACACCGTCCATCGGTGTGTTTGATCTTTCCTTGGCCTGTAGTGGTTTGAGTGTGTAGAGCAGAGAAGCTCTTTTAAATCTCATTTTCTTCTTGGGCAGTGGACACTTACTGGGTACTTGACCGAAAGTCCGGGTCCCTGGACGCAGAGGACCTCTGGTGTAGGGGGTGATGCGCGCGCGCGCGCGCACACACACACACACACACACACACACACACGCACGTAGTGCCCCTGAGGCCTAAATGGTGAGCGCCGTCCTAGAGGTATGAACGCTTGGGAAACACAAAGCCAGGGCAAGACTCAGGTTGGGTCATGGAGCGAAAGGCATCTAAGATTACACGTGCTCTTCAATCAATCAATCAATAAATAAGTAGTGTTTGTAATTGATATTTCAACAGGACACTCCAAGAGGCTCAATTTCTGAGTGAGGGGAGGAGAGAGACATGAACATGAGTCACTTTTCTGGTCTCCCAGGCTAGAAAAATTAAAATTCTGCGTCATCCTTCTCCCTTTCTCATCTAGCCTGTCTCTAAGACCTACTGCTAGGTCCTCCTTTGAAATGTCTCCTGAATTTTCTTCCTCTCCGTTCCTCAGCATCCCCTCCCCCATTCCAATCCAAACCCTCTTCACTTTACATCCGGATTACTGCAACAAGGGTGGTCTCCTTGCTTTTGGTTTCTCAGCTCTCGTTTCCGGACTAATGCCAAACGTACCTCTCTCTTGGGACCCCCACAGCTAACTAAGCCAGCATTTCTGCCTGACCTTTAGGGCCCTTTTAAACTGGCCTCAGCCTCTCAGACCATCCTCATTCCTCTCATCTCCCAGATGCTCCCATAGAGCTGTTTCTCCTGGCCTGGAGCTCCCGCTGCTGCGCCCGCTCCCACCTGCCTAGCCTTCCGTTTCTCTCCAAGCCTCAATTCAAGGCCCTCTGGCTTCCAAGACAGCTTTCTAGCCACCCCATTCCACAGCGATCTCCACACTTGGCAGGAACTTCAAAAACGGTTTCATAAAGGCTTGTTTTACATCTCCTGGAATTCCTAGGACACTACTCTGCAGAGAGTAAGCACTAAATAAACGCTTGCTAATTAAATCGGGAAGAAAATAAAAGACTTTTCAAAATGGAACACGATCATGAAACCCACGGTTGTCAGATAACTGAGTTGAACTTCTGCCCTCATAACCCACCACTGTCACCTGCTGACCAAGTACTGTAGCTCTGTTTCCCCCCAAACGTGCTCGTTAGACAGTAACATCCTCATGAGAAGACACTTGAACAACGCTGTCAAAGTATCACACGTAAAACTATTATCAGCTTATGTTTGTACAGGAGGAAGGGAAGTCATTCATATGGTTCGACCGCCAAAAGACGAAAACATGTGAGTGAAAACTCGCCTTCCCACCCTGCCCGCGAGATACCCAGCTCTGCTCCTGGGGGTAACCAGTGTTACCATAACCCTAGGGATCCACCTAGAAATATTTTGTAGATAAGTGAGCAAGCGCCTATCTGTGTCTTTCTTCTCCTGTTACCTGGAAAGTGGCATATCATAAATACTTTTTCATAGGAAGGTAATTCTAATTAAAACAAGTAAATTAAAACTTCCAAAAGAAAGTCCTGTACTGAAAAGAGGCTCCATAAAAGGGAAGGAAATTGTGTTTTGGCTGGTGCACGGGCAGATAGTTTTTTAGCAGTTAAGACACTAATCTGCTTTGAGAGCTTGATGAGTACCCACCGTACCTCACTATATACATTATCATCATCTGCAAGAATATAAATTGAATGACTACAGCACCTTAGATAGAAATAATAATTCCCAGGGTGGGTTGGGGGTGGGGAGGTAGTGGGAGTCAGAGCTAGAAAGATGAAATCTCCCTTGGTCTCTGAACCTCACTGTGTTCTCTGCCTACCACACTCAACACCACCTCAGGCACAGAACTTTTTCGGCTGCAAATCAGAGGCTGGATTCCCCTGGACATCAGAGAAATGATGACGTGGGCAATATATTTGCTCTAGTGGACATGAATGGAGAAAAGTGTGTCAGCCTCGGTAGCATAAATGACCAGTATGACTATGATTCCCAACACTGGAGGGTTTTCATCCAAGGGCTGACATGCCATGTGATACCCACTATTGAAAAGACGTGTTCATTCACCCCACATTTATTGGAAGACAGATACTGTTGTAGTAAAAGAAAGGTAAATAAGGTGCATAGCCTGGTCCTCAAAGACTCACCGTGGGAAAAATAGGTGAATATCTAACTCTAGTAGAGTAGGCGAATGAATATCCTGATGGGTATATGAGGTCTGTCCAGAAAAAGTTCAGCCATTGTTAACATAATGAGAACAGTTTGCACAACATCGATGTAACCTGGCAGCCAAGAAGAGTAGACTGGAATGTGCATGTGTGAACAATGACGACTTCACTGCACTAGTCAGTGAGGGTGGCAGACGCCATTGAGTGAGCATGTGTACTGTGTGACTGTCACATTCAAAATGACTGTGCAGGTAGAGCAAAAAATGTGCATCAAATTTTGTGTTAAGCTTGAACATTCTTCTACAGAAACTATTTGGATGATCCAGAAGGCCGCAGCTATGGGCAACTGGTGATTGGCAGCTTCATCACAACAACGTGCCTGCTCATGGATCACGTCTCATGCAGTTTTTTGGTGAAACATCAAACCATCCAGATGACTCAGCCCCCCTACAGCCCAGATTTGGTGCCCCTGAGACTTCTGGCTTTTCCCAAAACTAAAATCACCTTTGAAAGGGAAGAGATTTCAGACCATCCATGAGATTCAGGAAAATATGATGGGGCAGCTGATGGCAACTAGGAGAACTGTGTGAGGTCCCAAGGTGCCTACTTTGAAGGGGACTGAGGCATCATTGTCCTGTGTACAATGTTTCTTGTATCTTGTATCTTTTTCAATACATGTCTCTATTTTTCACATTGCATCACTGGATACCTTCTGGACAGGCCTTGTGTATTCCAAGTGGAATGGTAATGCCTGTTTTATCAGCTTTGGGCTGATTATAGAAGGATGAGTAAAAGTTCACTAAGCATTCAAAGAAAAATAACAGAAAAGCATTCCAGGAGGAAGGAACCACCCCCAGCCTCTCACCTCTGCCCCCCTCCCCCTCCCCCCCACATACTTACAAAGGACCTACAATGTCCAGCTGGAATGTTGCCCTGAGAGGGCATTGGAGATGCCAGGGGGCCAGTGTTAGAGGACTCAGGGCTCTGTGGACCTGGGATGAGCGCTCAGGCCTCTGTGACTTCAAAACCTACGCTCTTTTCAGTCATCTCTCTTTGAAAGACGCCCCAGAGTTCTCTTAGCCAGTGCTGTGGTCCTGCATTCTATCCCCTAAAGCAAAACACGTCATTCTCACAGTTCAGCTTAGTCTTTTTCAAGCTGAAGACCCCTTTAATGGTCTCTCTCAGGCCACATCATGCTCGCCTTCCTCCTGATGAGATAGTTTGTGAAGCTACACCTTCCAGCGAAGCACCCGACCACTGGACACGGCCGGTTCAGTGTGGTTGCCCCTTCTGTGCTCCACACGCGACTCCCGAGATCGAAATATCCTTAAGCAGCCTGCAAGTCTCTCTTTCAATAGTCTTAAATGGATTGTCCTCAAAGGTAAACTCTTTCTTGAATACATTGTGATAAAATTTCCCTATTCCAAATACATTTTAATGAAAACATTCTCTATTCTTTTAACACGTTCATTCTTTTTACCTTTTTTTAAAATAAGAGCTTTTTTATTTTATTTATTGATTTCAGAGAGAGTGAGAGGAAGGGAGAGAGAGAGAGAGAGAGAGAGAGAGAGAGAGAGAGAGAAACATCAATTTGTTGTTCTGCTTATTATGCATTCATTGGTTGATTCTTATATGTGCCCTGACTGGGTATTGAGCTCAAAATCTTGGGATAGGGGATGATGCTCTAACCAACTAGCTAACATGTTCTTTCAATATTATCTAAAGATTGGCTGAGGATTTTGTACTGAGGAATGGAAAAACATGTGTTTTCATTCTTCGTTCTAAGGTGGTGCAATAGAAGCAGTGTACCTGTCTTTTGGAGTGTGTCACGAATGTAGTCTTGCTCATCTTTGTGCTCTGGCTCCTAGCACAGTATCTGGATCAGGGCAGGCATTTAATTTTTAATCATCAAACATAGTGCTGCAATGAGCCAAGCACAGTCTGGAATGCTTCCGAAATAT